ACAGCATCATCTTTTAGGATTTGAAATAGCTCAACAGGAATTCCATTACCTCCATTAGCTTTGTTTGTAGTGATGCTTCCTAAGGCCCACTTGACTTCACATTCCAGGATGTCTGGCCAAACTCCTTATTGCCAAATTCAGACTTAAATTTAAGAAAGTAGGGGAAACTACTAGACCATTCAGGTATGACCTAAATCAAATCCCTTATGATTATACAAAGTGGAAGTGACAAATAGATTCAATGGATTAGATCTGGTAGAGACAGTGCCCAAAGAACTATGGATGGAGGTTCGTGACATTGTACAAGAGGCAGTGATCAAGACCATCACCAAGAAAAAGAAATGCAAAAAGGCAAAATGGTTGTCTGAGGAGGCCTTACAAATAGCTGAGAAAAGAAGAGAAGCTAAAGGCAAAGGAGAAAAGGAAAGATATACCTGTTTGAGTGCAGAGTTCCAAAGAATAGCAAGGAGAGATAAGAAAGCCTTTCTCAGTGATCAGTGCAAAGAAATAGAGAAAATAACAGAATGGGAAAGACTAGAGATCTCGTCAAGAAAATTTAGAGATACCAAGGGAACATTTCATACAGAGATGGGCACAATAATGGACAGAAATGGTATGGACCTAATAGAAGCAGAAGATATTAAGAAGAGGTGACAAGAACACATAAAAGATAAGATGAGGCATATTTTAATTTATTTAGGGAATGAATACATGTGCATATGGAGTAGGTAACAATTCAAAAAAATTTAAAATTGAATAACATTGTAAGTGGCATTGGGCTTCCCTGGTGGTTCAGAGGTTAAAGCATCTGCCTGCAGTGCAGGAGGCCCGGGTTCAATCCCTGAGTCGGGAAGATCCCCTGTAGAAGGAAATGGCAACCCACTCCAATATTCTTGCCTGGAGAATCCCATGGAGGGAGGAGCCTGATAGGCTACAGTCCATGGGGTCACAAAGAGTCGAATACGACTGAGTGACTTCACTCTAAGTGGCATAGACTGTATTGTGAGAGGTCACAGAAATCAGGAGTAGTCATGAGCTTGTATCATCTGTGGTTCCTATAAGCAGAGAATAGCGATGGAGGAAGAGGGATGACACATGGTTTATATTTCCCTTTTCCCAGCAATGTGTCAATGCCATAGGTTCAATCTACCTGCTCAAGATTCAATGCAGGGGATTTCTAAAAGTCTGCTTGGATGGTCTCATCCTGGGACAAGAGGGAAATCACAGTTTCTGTCAGATTTATTATGTATTGCCAGCATTAAGGCAAGAAAGAAAAAGTAACAACCTGCCAGCAACTTACAAGGATAATTTTGGCTATGGTATTATTGAATTTAGTATCATGGAGCTAGTTAGAGTGATTGAGTTACAGAAGGAGATACCCAAGGAGCACAGAATTGCTGCTCAAATCACTAGTCATAATTAAAACCACAATGAGATGCTGCCACACATCCATTAGAACAGCTAAAATGCCAAGTATTGGTGAGGATGTAGATAACTGGAACTTTCAGACATTTCAATGGGAATGCAAAATGGTGCAAGTGTCTGAAAAACAGCACGGCAGTTTCCTTTAAAGCTAACAGACACTTACAAAATGACACAACGATTCCTATTCTAGGTTTTTACCCCCACCCTCCAATAAAACTTCTCTGGTGGCTGAGACAGTAAAGCATCTGCCTACAACGCGGGAGGCCCAGGTTCCATCCCTGGGTCGGGAAGATCCCCTGGGGAAGGAAATGGCAACCCACTCCAGTACTCTTGTCTGGAAAATCCCATGGACAGAGGAGCCTGGTAGTCCATGGGGTCTCAAAGAGTCGGACATGACTGAGTGACTTCACTTTCCAAATAAAAACACATCCTTAGAAGGACTTCTACATGAATATTCAGATCAGGTTCATTCATAATAATCCCACATTACAAACAACCCCAGACAGGCTACCCACTCCAGTACTCTTGGGCTTTCCTTGTGGCTCAGCTGGTAAAGAATCTGCTTGCAATGCAGGAGACCTGGGTTCCATCCCTGGGTTGGGAAGATCCCCTGTAGAAGGGAAAGGCAACCCATTCCAGTATTCAGGCCTACAGAATTCCATGGAGTGACTTTCACTTTCAGATAGGTGAATTGATAAACAATTTGCTGCATATTCAAGCTATGCAATATTACAGCAGCAAAATGGAATGAACTATTGATATACTCACCCCCCAAAAATATTATAGATGAATCTCAAAAATGTGCTCAATGAAAGAATGAGCTCATTTATTCATTCATTGTTAAGAATAAGTAACCTATAGTGACAGGAAGCAGATTTGAGGTTCCCTAGCCCTGGGCCAGGTGAGATTGGGTGGGATGGGACACAAGGGAACTTTCCCAAGCGATGCACATATTTTATACCTTGCTTTTGGTAGGAATAACACTGGCATAAACATTTGTCTAAACTCAGCAAACTGCACTTGAAATGATTGCATCTGGTTGTATGTAACTTATACCTCAATAAAGGACCGAGGCTGAGTCAGAGGCTGGCAGCAGTAGGTCACTGTGTGCTTGGTTAGATGATTCTTTTGAGACCTGACTCAGTCCACTGGCTCTTCCCTTGATCTAGAAACTTCAGCTGGGGTCTAGCTAATTAAGTTCAGAAGAGCATTCTCTCCCAGGGCCTGTATGTCCCCAAGAGGGTCCCTGTTCTGAGAGCACACCCAGCCAGAGAAGGAGGAAGAAGGTCAGGAGGGGATGTGTCGCTGTCTCTTCCATATCCCAGTGAGCTGGTCTCTTTATAAAGGAACCCAGTGTTAATGGTATCTAGCTGAGTTTGGGAAAAATCCAAATAAACTTACCCCTCACATTGAGATTTCTTGGCCAACTCAGTGAGCCAAATAAAGCAATCCATGTTTAGGGGGGGGTTGCAACTGTGAGATAGGTCATAATCTCCATTAAGTAAGCTATGAAATGTAAATTATAGTTATGGAACAGTGAAAATTCACATATTTGCATCAAAATTAAAAGGGAAACAAACTATGACTATGGGCATCATCTTTTGGAGAAATGACCACAACCAGATGTAAGTAAATTATACCCTAAGGAGAAGAAGGCATCTTTCCAGGCCACTGCCATGAATTTATCTTAGACAGACCCTAAACTCCCTATCCAAAGCCCATCTTAAATAACTGTTTTCCCATCCAATGGACCATCTCCTTCACTGTGGGAAATTCGTGTACATTTTTGGCAAGTTAGCAATTATACAAATTTTAAGAAGTCTATCTTTGTAGACATCTATCTTTTTAGCTGCTTTAATCACTTGGTTGGTAAATGAAAACAAAAGGAAATAGAGTTAGTTCCTGCAGGATGTTAAATCTCACGTGGTTTAAGATGGATTGTATGGCTCCAATTATGATGTCTTTCATCACTGCACAGGCCCAGGCTGAGTCAGGACACAGGGGTCTGGTCACTGCTCACTCTTGAACTCGGTATGTGACCTCCAGCAAATCTAACCTTTGTTCCAGTTTCTTCCATGGTCAGAGGAGGATGGCAGCATTTCCTCAATCTATCTCAGCAAGTAAAAAGCTTTCATTGAAATATTACGCATGAGAACACTTAGAAAAATTAGAAGTTTAATATGACTATAAAGCCTGGCTTGTTTTGCATTTAAAAGAAAACTTTTAAAATGTTATAAACATGATACGTGTGCTATCACTATACATATATGTTGTAAGACCATGTCTCTCAAGCAATAAAAATAATAGGTCATCTTTTTATTTTTCCAATCCATTAGCAATGAGCCCAGGGGCCAAATATTCTCCAAAACAATAGGTACTTCTGCCATGCTGTCAGGGATGGTACTTTAAATCATTTTAAGCTCCAGTTCCTAGTCCCATCACACCCCAGCCATGAGGAGGTCCCAGGAAGCCTTGAAACCCAGATAATGGTGGGCCCTAAGCAAGAGACCAAGCAGCTGAGGAGTTACTTTATTGCTAAAACAACAGACTAGAAACTAAAGTCTAGCAATAAAATTAAAATTAAAAAAAAATAATAATTGGGTCATAGAAATGCCACAATGCCTAATCCTAGTATGTGGTCTGTATTTCATTGGCTGAAGGTTATGGCAACCGAAAAAAAAAAGAAACTAAAATTAAAAAAAATTCTGTATTGTCTTTAGGGAAATAAGAAGCACCTTAAATTTGCAGTAGAAAGGTTGGTCTTGGCATTGCCTAAGGCTTGCTGCCTCTTGTCTGGTCCTTGACCTGCCTCCTCTCTTTGCTGGCTTCTTCTCTCTTTCTCTGCTCTCTCCCTGTCACTTCATATCTGAAGGCAGAAATTTTTTCCCTTTTGGGAGCACTTTCTCAACCCATCTCAGCAAGTAAAAAGCTTTCATTGAAATGTTAGGCATGAGAACACTGTGATGGATGTGGTGGGCGAGAGGGTCAATGGGCGACTTCCAGCCTGCTCATCAGTGGCCCCAGCGACAGCTCGCTCCTGGGACCTGCACTGAACTTCAGACGCTGACTTGGACTCCAAGGAGGAGGATGTGAACAAGGTGCTGCTTGGTCTCCTGCTTAGGGCCCATCGTGATCTGGGTTTCAAGGCTTCCTGGGACCTCCTCACGGCTGGGGTGTGATGGGACTGGGAGCTGGAGGCACCGAGACTGGGCAGAGATGGACCACCCACTGCCACAGCGCCCCCCAGGCCAGCTCACAGTGCTCCAGGGGTGGGAGTCCTCCCAAGGCTCACTCATCCTGGGAAAGCTGTGCCGGCTCACTCATCCTGGGAAAGCTGTGCCGCCGAGGAAGTCATTGCATGCCATTTGTAACAAGAAAGGAGGCTGAGAGGGGCATTTCTAAACCATCCAAAAGGAAAAATATTAATACATGTCAATCACTCATGCTAGGCGAGAGACCAGTGTAACTATCCTATATCCTTTCTATAGACAATGACATTAAAAATTAACAACTTATGACAAAAAGAACAGAGTATGTGACAAAGTACAGGAAACAATATCCCAGAGATGTGCCTCAGAGTTCATAAATAATAATGACATATTATTTTTCTCAATTTTTTTATATTTGTGGCATTTGTCAGCTTTTAAAACTTCATAATTTGTTGTGATGTCTTTTTCATTCTAAATAAAGTTACTTTCATACCTAATTTTGTATTTTTCTATCCTTTTTCTTGGGCTTTCCAGGTAGCGCTAGAGGTAGACTCCACATTGTGTAAACTTGAGGCACACAAACTTGGATCAGCCCTTGGATAATTCCATGTTAGCTCAATGTACATGCGATTAATTATGATTATTGGGTACCTTGAGATCCTAGGGCTGAAAAATGTTAAGGAACTAAATGCATTTCAAAGAGACAAAATAAACAACTAAATGGTAGATTGGCTGGAAAATCACTATCTTCATGACTGGTATCTTTTATAAATGAGAACAGACTGTGTTAGGCACCAGATGATTTCCACACTATACCACAGCCTGCCAGATTGGAAGGGGCTGGCTGTCCAATGAGGGCTCTGCCAGAGGCAGAGTTATGTGGCATTAATAATTTCTAACGCCGTTTCTACCTGCCATTTCAACAGACTATTTTCCCAATCAGGCTTCCCAATTTAAATAAGGAAATGTAAATATAAAGTATTTAAAAAGGAGGAAAGATACAATTTAATTATACAACAAGCTTGGAGGAATATCTGATTTCAAGACAATAGAAAACTAAAGTAACTAACCAAGGGTTGTATTGGCATTACTACTGATAACAGATCAGTGTAACAAAATGGAAAGTACATAAATAGACCCACATATATATGAAAGACTGATTTTTGACAAAGGAGCAAAAGCAATTCAGTGGAGAAACAATAACCTTCTTAGCAGATGGTGATGGAAGAATTGCAAAATCCATTCACACAACAAATGAACTTCAATCCATAACTCAGATCAGATACAAAAATTAACCTAGAATAAGTCACAGATTTAAATGTAAAACCAAATATTAAATAACTTTTAGAAGAAAATGTAGAAGAAAATCTTTATGACCTTGGATTAGGCAAAATATTTAGATACAGCACCAAGAACAAGATATATGAACATATAAATTGTCTTGTCAAAATAAAAAACATTTGTCTTGTGAAAGACACTTATTAGGGAAGACAAGCTACAGGGAGAGAAATCTGTATCTAATAAAAGACTTCTATTCAGAATACCTAAAGAACTCTCAAAATTCAACAAAAAAGAAAACCAGCAACTCAGTTAAAATAATGGGCAAAAAATATTGAATGACACTTCACCAAAGAAGATATACGAATGGCAAATAAGCACATGAAAAAAAGCTCAGTATAATTTGTCATGAGGGAAATGCAAATTAAAATCCCAAGTAGATGTTACTATGTACCCAGAGTAGCAGCTAAAATGCAAAAAACTGACTCTATTGTACAACACAGGGAACTGTATTCAATATCCTATAATAATCTATAATGGAAAATATGTAACTGAATCAATGTTGAATACCTTAAACTAATATAATATTGTAAATCAACTATACTTCAGTAAAAAAAAAAAGACTGACCATACCAAGTGTTGTTAAGAAGCTAGGAAAAGTGGAACTCTCATACACTGCTGATTAGACTATAAAATGATACTTTGGAAAACAATTTGACAGCTTTTAAAAATGCTAGATATAAATCTACCATATAATTCGGCCACTCTCTGCCTAAATATTTATCCAAGGGAAACAAAAGCATATGTCCATTTTAATAATGTATATGAAGATTCATAGATGTATTTCTAATAATCAAACACTGGCAAATGCCCAAATGTTCATTAATAGGTGAATGGAGAAGAACAACAACAAAACTGTGGCATATGTAACAAAATACCAGTCAGGAATAAAAAGGAATAAACTATTGTTACACACACCTAGAGAGCATATTGAAAAGAAGAGACATTACTTTGCCAACAAAGGTCTGTCTAGTCAAGGCTATAGTTTTCCCAGTGGTCATGTATGGATGTGAGAGTTGGACTGTAAAGAAAGCTGAGCGCCGAAGAATCGATGCTTTTGAACTGTGGTGTTGGAGAAGACACTTGAGAATCCCTTGGGCTGCAAGGAGATCCAACCAGTCCATCCTAAAGGAGATCAGTTCTGGGTGTTCATTGGAAGGACTGATGTTGAAGCTGAAACTCCAATACTTTGGCCACATGATGCGTAGTGCTGACTCATTTGAAAAGACCCTGGTGCTGGGAAAGATTGAAGGCAGGAGGAGAAGGGGATGACAAAGGATGAGATGGTTGGATGGCATCACCGACTCAATGGACATGAGTTTGGGTAAACTCCAGGAGTTGGTGATGGATAGGGAGGCCTGGGGTGCTGCGGTCCATGGGGTCACAAGGAGTCAGACATGAGTGAGTGACTGAAATGAACTGAATGACATCAGTGAATCTCAAAGTAATTATGTTGAGTAAAAGAAATCAGACAAAAATGAGAGTACATAATATACAATCCAGTTATATAAAAGCCTAGAAAATGCAATTACTAGTGACAGAAAACAGATATGTGGTTGGGGATGGGGAGGGCGGTGTAGGGAGAGTCAGGAGAGAGGGGTTGCATTATCTCGCAGTGAAGGTTTCATAGTGGTATATGCATATATCTCAAAACATATCAAATTACATACTTTGTGCATTTTTTTGTATCTCAATTATACTTCAACAAAGCTATGTTTAAAACATGACTTGACTTTAGGCGCGTAGAGCAAAATATAGGTTTGGGAACTGTAAAAAAATCATAGAACATCAAGATATTAACCATATTTGGTTCTACAATGTGACCTTATCTTTAACTGTGAAGTGAAATACTCTTGTTAACTGCCCAATCAGAAGTTCATGCAGCCCATAAGGAGGCTCTCCCCCTACACACAGAGCAAGTGGAATGAGTCATTTAAAGTAAGTTTCACCACTCCCCCGCTGTTTCTCTGTCCTTATCTTGTGGGGAGAAGGTGGAAATATATAAACACAGACTTAATATAAGTCGGGATGCACAATGGGCTTCCCAGGTGGCTCAGTAGTAAGGAATCTGCCTGTCCATGCAGGAGATGTGGGTTTAATACGTTGGTCGAGAAGATCCCCTGGAGAAGGAAATGGCAACCCACTCCAGTATTCTTGCCTGGGAAGTCCCATGGACAGAGGAGCCTGGTGGGCTACAGTCCGTAGGGTCGCAGAGTCGGACACAGCTAGAGTAACAGCACGCTTGAATGAGCTGCTCCAGTAAAGCTTACAACATGACTAATTCCACATTATGTTCTGCTGCTAGAATCACCTGTTTCAACTTGCACATCCTCCTAGCTGTTTAGAGATAGCCAGAGGTAGCTTTTGTGGACATAAGTGTACCTGCAAAACTCTTTTGTCTCTTTAGCTAGTAGTTTCAGTGTTAAACTAGTTGTCAGAGTTTGGGCACGAATCAGTTGGACTGATTTAGGTATCTTGATGGGCTGTTATAGACGATGAAAGGGAGAAACTAGCTCAGTTTGATGAACTGGTATTACTAGAACAAGGCTTGAAATTTAGTGTACAAGTGTGTCCATGCATTTGGGATAGCAAACAAGCAATTTTTGACCTGACTTCCAGGATAAGGCTGGTTAAAGGGTAGTGGGGAATCTATAGATCACTGCTAGTTAAGCTCAATTGAAAAATCCTTTTAACTATTAAAAATTGGGGAATATTAGAAATAAAACATAACATAGAAATATGAACATTTTCAATAGATGAATTTCTATGCACATTTTCATAGAGTTGAGATCATGTGTATATATTATTTTGTCTTGTACTTGAACTTAAGATGCTCTGCGCATTTCCCTGTGTCATTTTTGAAATTATTTTTTAATGTCAAAAATATTCTATTGTAGTTATATTCTAATACAGTTAACTGCTTTATTACTGTTCAGTGCGGTTGCTCAGTTGTGTCTGACTCTTTGTGACTCCATGGACAGCAGCACACCAGGCTTCCTTGTCCATCACTAGCCCCAGGAGCTTGCTCAAACTCATGTTCATCAAGTTGGTGATGCCATCCAACCATCTCATTCTCTGTCATCTCCTTCTCCTCCTGCCTTCAATCCTTCCCAGCATCAGAGTCTTTTTCAATGAGTCAGTTCTTTGCATCAGGTGGCCAAAGTATTGGAGTTTCAACTTCAGCATCAGTCCTTCAGTGAATATTCAGGACTGATTTCCTTTAGGATTGACTGGATTATTACCATAATACATAGGGTTTTGCTGTAAAAAATAATGCTGTTATGAACATTTGTGCATAAGTGTACTTTTTCACTTTAAGATTTTTTCTGTAAAATAAAATTATGAGATAAAGAGTTTATATATTTTTAAGGCTCTGGTTAAATTTTACCAAATGTTTGGTCAAAATGCTCTCCCAGCAGCAGTGTATGAGAATGGTCCATCATTGGCATCATTGTTAGTACTGAATGTTTCTTTAAAGGAAAAAAAGTCCTAGCTATTTTGATGGTAAAACAGTATCCTATTATAATTTTCTTCACATTTTAAAAATTACTAGTTATAGTTCCCCTTTCGTTTTCTCTTATCAACTTGTTTATGTCCTTTGCCTTTTCCCCCTTTTTCTACCACATTAATAAAATTGTTCTGTAAAGTCTCCATTGAAGCAGCAATAAAACACTCACTAGAGTTCATTTTATTGAATTGATTTAAATATTTTATTTAAGGAAATATTTTGAAGACTATAGTTCATTATTTATAGGAAAACTATAAAGCGTACATGTTTAAGTAGTGACATTATAGGAAATAGATTTCTCCAAATAACATAATTAGTTTTATAGTGCTACCAGTGGAATGCATCCTGCAGAAACATGGTTTTAACTTCAGATCTGAGCACACTGTCCTTATATCAAAAAAGAAAAAAGGATAATAAAAAAAACCACAACTTTGATTAAATTTTTAGTAGACCATATCTGATTTGTTGAAGAGCAAGTTCTTTTATTTACCTCTTCAAGGAAGTGCTTATTTTTTTCACCTCTTTCTGAGCATCTTTATCCTATAAAGAAAACACAAATACACAATAAAATTTCATAGTTCACCCTGATACTCTAGGTACTTTGAAATAGACTTGTTGAACAAGGGGGTACTTTTTGAAAGACCATCACAAAGAAACTGTGCATGTCTTAGGACCAGTATGATTTGCATCTCTGAGAATGTAACTGATATGGAGAGCTATTTCCAGGCTCTTTCTCCAGCTGGCCTGGGGTGGTGGATACAGGAAGCAGAGCCCCTTCTGCGTAAGCTGTCACACTGCATCCATCACTATGTTAATGATAACATTGTTTTCTTCTTCAACTATAACATGTGGAAAAGGTCTGAGTCTTAGCAGCAGAATTTGAACAACTGAGATTCCTCTGTAAGATCCAGACAAGATTCCATGGTAAGATCCAAACTGCCTATTTTTTATCAGGTAATTTAAGATTTAAAATCATGTAATGTGTTTCATAGGACTCTATGTGTGTTATTATTTCCTTAAAACAAGTGTGGAAGTTATGAAGAGTGGAAATAAATTCAGATGGTAGGGTGCTCCCATGCATTTTTTGTGTTTAACAGACACCAACCACCTATCAGAAAGGGTTTAAGGAGTGTAACATATTTAAAGAAAACAGAGGAGGAAAAACTGGACAAAGTAGATTTTGGAAGCAGTTGTTGGCTATATTTTTTTTTTAAAAAAACTGGAAGTTCTTCAATAGTTTTAATCGTAAGCTTTAATACAGTGATTCTATTGCAGTGACTGATAAACTAGAAGTCTACCTTCTATCAAATCAGTATGTTTGAAGACTGTGAGAAAATATGGCTAATGAATCTAGGTGAGTGATGCATTATTAAAAAGAACTTACAGAAAAGCCATAATTCAAGGTTAACTTTGTAATCCTAGGGCTAGCTCAGTGCCTGGCACCAAGAAAATTCTAGTGAAGTGAAGTCGCTCAGTCTTGTCTGACTCTGTGCGACCCCATGGACTGCAGCCTCCCAGGCTCCTCCGTCCATGGGATTTTCCAGGCCAGAGGACTGGAGTGGGCTTCCATTTCCTTCTCCAGAGGATCTTCCTGACTCAGGGATTGAACCTGGGTCTCCCACATTGCAGGCGGATGCTTTACCCTCTAAGCCACCAGGGAAGCTCATTTAGAGGATTCTAAGTAAGTGCCTATTAAATAGGCAGTTGACTACCAGAGCTCAGTAACAATTTCTCAAATCTAGGAACCAATTTCTTACAGACAAAGGATCTTCCTGACTCAGGGACTGAACCTGGGTCTCCCACATTGCAGGCGGATGCTTTACCCTCTAAGCCACCAGGGAAGCTCATTTAGAAGATTCTAAGTAAGTGCCTATTAAATAGGCAGTTGACTACCAGAGCTCAGTAACAATTTCTCAAATCTAGGAACCAATTTCTTACAGACAAATGATGTAGATGAAAGAACTGTTTCAATTAAATGCCTTAAGAAATAAATATACTCAAACTACAATAAAAGGTTTAAAATTAAGACCATGGCTTAGCAATATCTGCCCTCTGGAGGCATCACAAAGAATTCCTCTAATTCCTACCCAATCCAACTGCTAACACACTCACACACACACACACCCCCCTTCCTTTTTTTACCTCTTCCCAGGGCTTCCACCCCAGTCTTTAATTAATTTACTTTTTTGTGTGTGTGGATAGAGGACACTGGCAAGGCCTTTCAGCTAAAACAAACAAAAAAACAAAACAAAACCCCAGCTAAAACCACCACCTCCAGTCATGCTTTCTTGTCACTGCCTAAAATGCACCCCGTTCAGACCATTAATCCTCTTTGGTACTCACCCCAATACTGCTCTTCTATGCACTCTCTTTCCTGACTCAACCTCTCACTTCTCCCCCTTTTCCCAGACAGAGCTCCCTGGAACTCCTGTTAGAAAACTTGCTTTGAGGTCATATTTGCATAATCAGCAATGTATTTGCTAAGAGAATATTTTTGAGGGGAGCTCAGGAAGAGAATGAGGCAGTGGTTAGGGCCAATGGTAGAGGGTAATTGCCCTCGATTGTTTCCCACATTTGTTAACAAACTCCTGATCACTCTCTTTTTATTTTACTTTTGATGACTTTGGCATCTTGGTCACTCTCTCCACATCGAGTTCTACCACCACTGTCGGAGACTTCACTGTTCCCATGGATTGTGTATCCCAGTCTTGCAGAAGGGTGCCTCTTCATATTTTCTTCCACTCCCCATGAGCACACCCTGGGATATCTCACTTCTCCCCCTTTTCCCAGACAGAGCTCCCTGGAACTCCTGTTAGAAAACTTGCTTTGAGGTCATATTTGCATAACCAGCAATGTACTTGCTAAGAGAATATTTTTGAGGGGAGCTCAGGAAGAGAATGAGGGAGTGGTTAGAGCCAATGGTAGAGGGTAATTGCCCTCGATTGTTTCTCATATTTGTTAACAAACTCCTGATCACTCTCTTTTTATTTTACTTTTGATGACTTTGGCATCTTGGTCACTGTCTCCACATCGAGTTCTACCACCACTGTTGGAGACTTCACTGTTCCCATGGATTGTGTATCCCAGTCTTGCAGAAGGGTGCCTCTTCATATTTTCTTCCACTCCCCATGAGCACACCCTGGGATGTGTCAGACCTAAAACTGCTCCATCTCTGAGACAGGGATCTTGTTCTCTAAACACTGCTTATCCTTGAGGGTCATTTACCTATCCATCTCTTCTCTCTCTCAAGAATTCAACATTTCAGCCATACTATACTTGCTGAAGCTGAAGTTCCAATACTTTGGCCACCTAATGCGAAGAGCCGACTCACTGAAAAAGACCCTGATGCTGGGAAAGACTGAGGACAGAAGAAGAAGGGCATGACAGAGGACGAGATGGTTGGATGGCATCACCGACTCGATGGACATGAGTTTGAGCAAACTCTGGGAGATGGTGAAGGAAGGACAGGGAAGCCTGGTGACCATGGGGTAGCAAAGAGTCATACATGAATGAGTGACTGAAAAACAACAATACACTTGATAAGAGTGCTTTTTCACATCATATTTATCAGTTCCAAGCCTTTGTTAGTTCTCTAGTATTTCATAAAATATGGTGTGTATACCACCCACATTGGTATCACCTGGGATGTTTGAATTACTTATAAAGTATGCATATTTGTTCATGTTTTCATTCACCCTTGCCAAGTAGGTATGTATTTCAACAATAGAGTAATGAGAACACATTTTTTATATGTTTCATTTTTCAGTCACATTAAAAGGTGTTGTCTGATTAAACAAAGTCTTTGTAAATATGTTTAGAGTTGTATAAAAAATGGAAACTGATTAACTAATTAACAGTGATGTAATAAAGGAAAACACTTCAATTACTCAGCATAATGTTTCATGACTTTTTAAAAATTTAATATTTATTTTATTTTTTGGCTGTGCTGGGTCTTCGTTGCTGCATAGGCTTTTCTCTAGTTGCAGGGAGTGGGGGCTACTTTCCAGTTGTGGTACATGGTCTTCTCATTGCAGTGGCCTCTCTTATTGCAGAACTTGGGCTCTAGGGAGCAGGGACTTCAGTAGTTGAGGCTTCAGGATTCAGGAGCACGGGCTCAGTAAGTGTGGAGCACAGGATTAATTGTTCCATGGCATGTGAGATTTTCCCCAACCAGGGATCAAACCCATGTCTCCTGCACTGGCAGGTGGATTCTTTACCACTGAGCCACCAGGGAAGCCCCATGTCATGATTTTTTAAAGACAAATACCCATGTATTAGATTTTTCATCAACAACTCTTATTAATCTCATTGTTTATTATGTCTCACCAAAATCTGTATTCAACATTTCTAAGAAGGCATCGTAGTTTTACATCTTTACATGGCATTATTTTCAGTAATACATTTGGCAAAAGTCTAATTATATGTTGAATTTCGTACTAAGGTTCCTGATAGGTTCCCCCCTTCCCGAGTAGGAATTTTCTTAAGATCCAGATGAAGGCATTTCTACAATGACTTGAGGCCTGAGGAATTCTCAAGTGTAAGAACTTGAAGGCTGACTAAAGCATGATCACCTCATTCATAACACTGAGAGTGCCTGACACAGTGAAAGTCTTCCCATGTCCTGGAGCGTTGCTTTATGAGTAATGGGTTTCCCATGTTTATTTCACTGAATTGCTTCTCCGACATGAACTATCTTGTAGTTTCCAAATGGCTTTCTCCTCCTGGTAAAGACTTGCTGCTTCCCTTCCTGCTTGACTCTGAGTTTTCTGTAAGGCTTGAGTGTTGGCTGACGGCTGCAGGGTTTCTCCACTCTGTGAGCTCTCTGCTGTTTATAAAGGTTGGTGCTGAGACTGAAGATTCCTCCACATTCATTATATCTCTAGGGTTCCTCTCCGGTGTATGTTGTTTCATGATGGCTAACGTTAGAGCATCAACTAAAGGCTTTACCACATAGATGATGTTCATATGGTTTCTCTGCAGTGTGAGTTCACTCATATCATTTCAAAGAAGAATTATTTTAGAGGCATTTCCGTAATGATCACAAAGGGTTCCTCTCTGGTGTGAGTTCTCTGGTATGAAAAAAAAGGTAACTCTTTGGCCAAAGTGTTCCCCACATTTGTTACAGTTATAGGGTTTCTCTAATGTGACCTAACATGTGTTGTTATTGCTGAGCAGTGAGTGAATACTTCCCCATTCTCATTATGTTCAAAGAACTCCTTTCCAGTGTGAAATCTCTGCTATTGATGAGAGGTTGTTAAAGGTTTGCCCACATCCATTCATCAACTCATTCATTTACATATGAATTCTATGCTGATCATTCAGTGATAACTTTTAGTTAAAAGTCTTTGCCACACTGGTTACATTCAAAAGGTGTGTTATTCTCCTGCAGGTACACATGTCTTCTCCTTTGGATTGAGGCATGTTCACTGCACAGCTATCTGATTAATTGTGAGGCCTTCATTATGCTTCAAGCACTTGATATTTGCCCATATTTATGCAAATGTCCTTTTATAAGAACCCAGGTTATTGTTTTGAGTTCA